GGAAGAGCATTATATTCATCGCGCGCGCGGGAAGTATATTATTATTGCAACGTGTCTCGTAACAACGTGCGTCGCGGAAGCAAAATAAGTGCTGCGGAGCCATTCTTCGCATACGCGGATTCAAATTCTCGTGTGTGTCCCATTTTAATGCAAATAGGGTATTACGTAAATATTCGACTGTCGTTGTACAGTCATTCGTTACATAATAATAATTTGCGGCACTATTAATTCCTTAAGTATAAATCTTTAGAATTGATGATAAAACTATTTTAAGAGAGAATTAATTATATATCTAAAATTAATGTATCTTAAACTCGAGAATCGATTTTTCGTTTTAATTCCGCCGTTATGTAATTGAAAGTGTTCGAAGAATACGTTTTGTTATAGATTATTATAGAGATACACTTGCAGAGATGATCGATAAAACATGCAAATTTCTCGTAAATTTTTAATTCTCTAGAAAATCTCTTTTTGTTGAACTTTGTGAAAACAATCCGCTTACGAATATTGTGCAATCTACAATTCGCAGGATCGATATTTGGGGGAATTCTGGCATCGTAGAATTTCCAATGATGTAACGCTCGCATTTTCATGCGCTACGAGTCCGCTAATACGCGAGACACGTTTCAGTAATAATGTCGCTGGTAATTTAATGTCGCCGGTATAATCGGTATATCGCCGGTATAATCGGTATATCGCGTATTAACTTATACGAATTAATTGTCGACTAATCTCGGCGTTAAATCGATCGACTAAAGCGTCTGTTAAATGCCATCACGACGAGATACGCGATTGGAAATGTGTGTACGGGCTTAAGTTACAAACACCGTTGCAATTGCTACGTATTTAAGCGTATTATTTCACGTGCTACGTTAGATATGAGGTAAATAGAAACGAGATCTCGTGGCGAAATCGATTCATCGGCTAAATCGTCTCGTCGCGCTATCGTCGCCGGCGCTCAATTCGATTTCTCTCAATCAAATTCCGAGTCGCATTGAATGGTCTCCCACGCATCGCTGATTTCCCGTATCGTCATCCGACAATGACAGACGCCTCACGTGCAGGTGGATCACGGTCGCATCGTTAAATCATCGTTAAATCTGTATACAGGGTTCATAAAATTATCGCACGCACGTTCATCCCGAAAGTGACAGAAAATGTAGTTTTGCATTTTTTCTTCGGCATGAATCGAATAAAAATACGAACACGTATCTAATGGAAGAGACGCCTATAGATACAAACGATTGTGCTATTCGAGCGACTTGTATTTATGTATTTGTACAATTAATTTTTATCCTTTCCTGATAGCGTTCGAAACACGCGCAATTTTTCACATAATGCCGGCGATTCCATTGTCTCTTAAGTTTAGTCTCTAGTGAACTTAGATGCCTAGGAATTAGACTCGTGAAGCGGCCTTGTTGTTATTGTGTTGGCAGAGTCGTAGCGGGCGGCAATCCCCGGAGCCTCGCTCGTCGCGGCCGACTGTCCCGGCTTCTGCAGTTCAAGCATAACGGAGGGTATCTGTATCGTTTCCAGAATAAAAAAAAAACGATAAGAGAACGGAAAGAGAAAGGGAAA